CATCTTTTTCATAATAGCTTATCTTTTTTATCTTTATTTTCTCTCTTTGCCTTCTGGTGGTGATATCATGTATCGATTCATGTTAGCCGACCCCAATATCTTTTGGGACTAAAGCTTGAATGTTATTGTTGTAGTATTGCAGAATGCATGCCATAGGTGATTGCTACAAGCACATCGTATAGAGTTGGCCGGAGAGCTAGCATTCAAATATTTGGGTTAACATTCTAGCAAAAGAGAGACTTCATGTAGTGTTTGAATTAGATAAACGGTAAAAAAAAAGTTATTAGAATGAGGACTATATAATAAAAAAAAAAGCATATGGACTTGTGCAAGTACATAACAAACTTGAATATCTCGATGAGCTACCCATTCACGAACAAAATGATAATCTATATCAAGTGCTTATGCAGGCATGCTTTATAGGATTCACCGAGAGATAAGAGGCTAATATATGGTCACACACAAAAAAAAAGCGGCTCGCGAATAGAAAATCCATGATCAGGTAGGACTAGACCAATTTGTAGGGTGTCTTGAACTGTAAAAGCAATACAATGTATTCATTCTCATTGGAGGAATGAGAAACAGTAGGCTGCTTCTTGAAACACCATGAGACCAGATTTGGACCAATAAAATCAGCATAGCTAGAATTAGGAAGACTTGTATCAAGAGTCAAGACAACCAGCCAAAGTCGCATCTGAATAAACAAAAATAACCTAGGATGTCTTGGATGGTTGAAGAAGCAGCTCATGAGTAGGGGTACTCTAGAGTTTGATACCTAAAAATATGCATAAGAACCAATGTATGTGAAGTACGGGGGCATGCATAAATTGAAAAACCAAGGGAACAACATAAGTATATCTGGTCGACTCAAAGTTAAGCACTGAGGTGCACCTATCATGCTTGGATACTCCGTAGGATCAACAAGAAGTGTCCCCTATGTTAAAGAAAGCTTTGTTCGATCTACTAGGAAGAGGGGTAAGAAGCGGTTTGACATGAATGCGACAAAGTAGACCGGAAATATATTTGTATTGAGATAGAAATAGACTTGTAGAGATTTGACATGCATGAACACCAAGAAAAAAGTGTAAGTGACAAAAATCATTAATAGCAAAAAAATTTGCTTATAAAGAAATAAAATGACGGACAAAAGAAGAGGAGTTACGGTAACAATTATATCATCTATGTATAATAAAATATAGATAAATAGAGAATCATGCCTAAAAATAAACAAGGAGTTATCTGAATGACTATAGGTAAACACATGACTAAGAAGGAAACTACTAAACTGATAAAACCACAATCTAGCTAGGGGCATCTTTGATACCATAAATAACCTTATAGAGATGACGAGGAAACTCAGGATGAAAAAACATAGGAGGTTGACGCATATATAGACTTCCTTAGTGAGGTGATCATGAAGAAATGAATTTTTAACATCAAGCTGAGGGATAGAGCAACCATAAGAGACATCAGTTGTGAGGACACAACGCACAGTAGAAATAGGATACATCCATTTTCTCTATTCTATATTACTTGCGAGTGGGAGTAGCTCAATTGGTAGATATTGAGTGTCGCAAGGGGTAAGTCTCTAGTTCGAATCCTGACAATTGTGATGAGAGGTTACTATGTGAAAATGCATAGGGCCTCTGCAAGTACCTGGGCCAGAGCCCCACTCGCTATCTGCCAGCTTGTGATTATAGTCCAATTTACATCCTCCAGTTAACTATCCGACCGATGCTAGGGGGCCTCGGGTTGGGGTGTCATCCTTTTTGTATTCTATATTACTCACTGTGTATCAAAATAAGATGGTCCATTGTACATTTTACAAAAAGCAAGAGTTTGTGGTACAACAGTATTGTATATTTTAATAAATTGTACTGCATCCATCCCATTTAAAGGTTCTTGTGGCAAAATGACACGATTATTTAGACAATAATTAAATATGTCAATTCGAGTATATTTTAAGAAATAAATTTGATGAGTATATAATATAATGAGTTATTGATGATAACTGTGATTTTATAAATTTTTTTTATGATTAAATTGTCATTTAAGAGTGTTAATTGTTTCTTAAAATATAAAGTGAGAACCTTTAAGCGTGACGTCCAAAAAAGAAAAGTGAGAACATTTAAATGGAATGGAGGGAGACAGGGAGTACCATAACTGCTTTGAGGATAGATTTCTTTCCAAAAAAAGAATGAGACATTATTCTGGCCTGGTAACCTGAAAAGGAAATTGGAACAATTATTTTGATGCCGGAGCGAGAGCGTATGAGGATGTTTTCTTTTGGACTGAAATTTTCTGGTCTAGTCTTGTCTAATCTGGTCTGGTAAACGTCTAATCTCTGTGTATTTTATAACTACGGAAGTCAAGTCTGGTCTGGTCTGATCTGGTCTGGTCTGATCTGGTCAGGGACTGAAAACAATCCAAAAAAAACATCCTTCATCTCACATGTAACTCACGATCTATCAAATCATATAACAATCTATATACTTTGTTCTCAAGTTCAATAGTATTGATATTGAATATAGTTTATTCATTGGGAAAACTGTCAAATAGGTCCTCGAACTTTCATAAAAAAGTCAATTAAGTCCTTCTATAGGAGACTCTGTCCGGTCGTCGCGATTTGGGGCGGTTTCCGGTGGAATTTTTTGATAAAATCTTTTGAACATCTTATTCATCAAGTCTAGTTTACTCATACCAAAGTTCAGCTAAAAATTTAATCGGGAGCGCATTCAAATTAATTCGAGAACGCAAAAATGCGCAGTTATTTTCAAGAATTAATTTGAATGTGTTCCCGATTGAATTTTTAGCTGAAATTTGGTATGAGTAAACCAGACTTGATGAATAAGATGCTAAAAAAATTTCATCAAAAAATTCCACCGGGAACTGCCCGAAATCACGATGGCCGGACAGAACCTCCTATAGAAGGACTTAATTGACCTTTTTATGAAAGTTCGAGGACCTATTTGACAGTTTTCCCGAATCATACAGTTTATTCATTTGATTCTCATGCATACACGTATTCTTGCATGTTCCCGCTTCGATATGTATATAGAGTGGGTTTTGATTAAACCATATGATTTCATAAAATCTCCCTGTAACTAACCTATATCCGCTTTAATTTAAAACGAGAAACTTAATTCCTATTCATTTTTAGGTCCTCTAGTGTATTCCAAATATTCATTTATGTACCGTACTAGAATGATTTACTCGTGGTAGACCAATTTACTGTATAAACTAGAACGAGTAAGTAATTATGGAAGAACATCGCATGGGTAATGAGTGTGCTTTAGACTTAATGTTGAGTTTGTCGTTTGGCACCATAACCTCTCTATACACTTAGCAGTTAGCACCAGAATATTATATTTATTGATATAAACTGTAATAATTGGTCATATACTAGACTTTTTAAGTTGTTGAGAAGACCATGCTTATTTTAATTAATAATAATAGTGCTAATCAATCTAAATCAGATACGTCATTAAGGAGAGCAGAAAATCCGATTCTTGAATTCTTCCTTCAATGCCTCTCCGCCAAAAACATAGAGACTCCAATCACTCCATTGTTCTCAAATAATGAATTAAGTGTACGTTTGTCAAGTTCACTTAGATAGTGGATGAAACTTTTCGCTCTATTGATTTATAATCTAATCTAACAAAAGTTTGTTAATTTGGTATATGAAAAGTATAATCTAATCTAACAAAAGTTTGTTAATTTGGTATATGAAAACATAAAAAACGTTATGCATACATACATGGGCGGAGCTAGGGGTGGGCCAACCTAGGCCATGGCCCACCCCAAATTTTAAAAATGACTTGATTTAAAATTTTGTAAAATTTTGTGTAGAATTTTTGTGTAATTTTTTTTCTAAAAATATTCTTTGTACCGGTTCAGTGCTCCGCCCCTACATACATATAAATGTAGATCTACCGTGAAAAGTAGTCTACTCGTCTAAATGTAGATCTACCATATATCAATTTCTCATTAAAAAGGTTGTCTCAACTTAAATTTTGTTTTTTTATCAATTCATGATCTAAAAGTTCCACGAATTATGAATGCGAAACTTGAAAGATGAAATGCAATGATATAGGACCCAAATGATGGAAAAATATCAATTTAGGACCTAAGTTGTCATGAATTTTATAATTTTTTATTTTAATTTTTTATATATACTGTATTATTTAGTTTTATTAAACTAATAAACTTTTGTGAAGGAAAGTTTATCAAAAATTAGCAATGGTATTAATAAAAAATTAAATAAATCAAAACTATGAGGATATGAAATGTTAGGTCCTAGATTAATAGTTTTTCATCATTCGGATCCTATATCTATACATTTCATCTTTCGGATCCGGAAATTATAAATCATCTATCTTTCTGGTCCTGATAAAAAAAATTAATGTATAACCGCAAACGAAGACATCTACTTCCTTTGCACCCATTTAAAATTTCAGTTTGACTTTTAAGTCAAAATCTATAAATTTTGATCATAAAAATTCAAAACTCATTACTTTATCATACAAAATTAACTTATATACTTCATTGCATTATATATTATTCAAGTGATATTTTATTATAGAATTTATTGTCATATAGTTTTAGATATTCAGTCAAATGTCCACCTAAAAGACGATAAAATAAAATTGAGATTCTAATGGTAAAGTAGAATTTATAGGCATAATTTATAAGTATGTATTTTTAGATTTTGTTATAGGGAGTAGTTACTTGACACGTTTAGGAAGCCCCTCAAGCGTGAAGGTCTTTCAAGCTTGAACGCAATGTTTGAAGTCACACATGTTTTACTTTATTATCCTTCGGCAATGTTTGAGCCGAAGGAGAAAAGCTGAAGTCTTGACTACGAACGGGAAACGGGAATGCGATTTGGGTTATTAGACTTGGTCACTTTTTGTCTAAGTATAAAATGGGTCATATTTTTGTCCATTCAAACTCTCTAACTAATAATTATGTCATTATTTCAAGATTGAATGAGGTGCTTTTTTTTATCATCAAAATAGGCATCTATTCATATCAAAAGATTCAGGATCATTACTCAAGCAAAAGGAAAATAAAACTGACACCAACTGAAACTCCAACAACTACGACTGTAACCCTATGGTAAGACTTTGAGACGGTCACCCCTGAAAGATCAACACGAATCACTAACCATGTAGTGGGCTTGACACAGCCAAACATGTTCTCAAAGATCCAACCATACCCCATGACATAAAGAGATGCTAAAAACTCAAACAAATTGTCAAAACCAACAACAAAGATGAACACAAGAAAACAATTGACAAACAGATAAAAATTATTAGGAAAACTTTCACGGACTCTAGCACCTCGTACAATCCATGGTGCTGGTTCAGGCGGAGGTCGGACCGTCGCTCGATTGATACCCTCTTTCAGTGGCGTACCCGCCGTATGACCCAAATCCATGCCATCGAATGGAGCGTTCAGCCTCTCCACGCTAACCATGTCCCGATCATCCCTATGTCTCTCTCTCTCTCTCGCTTCTTCCCTTCTCGCCACCACTATCATCCATCCCGAGCTACGTCCAAATCACTGCAATCCGGCGCAGAGCTGCGTCGATTGAAAGAAACACCGCACCAAGGCGGTGAAGTAAAAACCCTACGCGAAAGATCTCGCTAGGGAAACACTGACCGGACTTCGATCAAGAAAGATCGAAAACGGAAATTACCTAGCGGCGGCTCTGCCCAAGGTGCTTAAAGCGCGACAAGTGATTCTCTATTAAAGGCAATTCAAAAATCAAAATAGTAGGGCGTGAGAATCATGAGAGATGAGAGTAGTCTTTTGGATAGCGATGGCTCATTTTGAAACAAAGCAATGCAAAACTAAGAAAAAACGGAAGATAGGTGTGAGATGGAGGGTTAATGGTTTGCACATCTTGCTATATAGGGGGTGTTTGGATGATGTGCTTAAACCGCGACTAATTAAAAATGAGTCTTTATTAAAGGCAATTTAAAATATTAGGAGCGTAAGAATCAATTTGCACATCTTGCTATATAGGGGTGTTTGGAACTGATTATATTTCTGCTTCTTTTTTAAAGCAGAAGTGGAATCAGAATCAGTTTTCAAAAGTTGGTTCCCCCAGCTTTTTCACAAAACGATTCTAGGAGTAAATTAGAGCACCAAAATCACTTTTGCACTTTCACTCAAACACTCCAACTTCTACTTCTGCTCCCTGAAGGAGCAGAAGCAGTTTTAAGAATCAGATCAAAACACCCGAATCTCGACTTACTTCTGAAGATTAAAAAAAAAAAAATTGTGGAGGATAAGTGTAGTCTGGAGAGTGATGGCTCGTTTTGAAACAAAGCAATGCAAAAACTAATGAAAAAAGAGTGGAGGATAAGTGTGAGATCGAGGGTTAATGGTTTGCCACATGGTTCTGGGGGACCATTATATTCAATTCCAAGAACTGACATTTGGGAGGTCCCAAACAAGAAATGCGAAAAGAGAAAGACTCCGTATGTTGTTTTACTCACTGCTACACAGTACTGGTTGTTAAAATTATTAAGCGTAAAATTAAAAGTTTTTAATCCATAAAGTTTTTAAAGACTCCGTATATTTTACCCCATAAAGAAACTCATGATTAGATTTTTTAAGCCTAAGATTCAATAGATGGTTTTTAAGGCTAACTAGACAGATCCAAGACTAATCGGCACATTTATTTCATCGTGAGGAGTTTAAACATCAGTATTCAATAGTTTAGTTTTGCTCTACTCTTCCTATAGCAGTCAGCATACTTTTGTGGTTAGAGGCGCGGGCTTTAATAGGTGTATGTTGTAAGGGATCATTTTATTGCCATCATCATACTAAATAGCCATTTAACATAAACCACTTGACCAAAGCGGAGAGATCGTGTTGGGCTCTCGAACGGGGGAGAAATTAACCCCAACAATATAATATCATTAACCTTTAACGTTGATTTTAGAAGGTAAATCGTTAATGGTTATGTTATTGGACAACACAACTTGGCAAATGTTCTTAGTTTATTTGACACTAAGCTCAGGGCCGGCCCTGGACAAGGGCAGGCCGGGCTTGTGCCCCGGGCCCAACATTTACAGGGGCCCATAACTATATATAAATGGATAAATATAGAGAGGACAATTCATATCAGACCGAGGTCATTTGGGACCTTTTATGGAGGAATTTTTTTATGAAACTTTTTTAGAGTATATTTCATCAAGTGTAAATTACATTCACAAAATTTTAGTTTAAAAATCAACCGGGAAGTCAGTTAAATAAAATATTGAAACACCCTGCGCTTTGTGTATATAAATAATGCGCACTATCTTTCAATAATTTATTTAACTGACTTTCAGGTAGAATTTTAATCTTAAACTTTGTGGAGATATTATAGATTTCATGAAGAATATATTTAAAAATTTTCATGAAAAAAATTCTATCGGGAAGGGCCTCAAATGGCCCCGGTCTGACATCATTTCCCGTTAGGCAGGCTTAATCTCAAGGTTTCATCTTTGGACTTTAATTCGTTTTGCTCAGCAATCAACACTCTCCTAATTTTCTCAAAAATATCTTCCAAATTTGAAATTTGAAATTTCACAAGTAATTATCTGGTTTTATTTTTTTTAATATAATTTTTATTCGTTTAGTTTATATATTAAGACTTTGACGAAAGACTTACATTACTTTGTATGTTGAAATTTGCGTATATAAAGTTAAGCTTTTGCAATATATTTATATAATATTTAAGGGCCTTCATTTTTCAATCTCCCCGGGCCCATAAAATATCAGGTACAGCTTAGTCTAAGCTGTACGTGAATACGGAACAAAAACACGAGCTAAACGTAGGTGATCCCCCATTTCCCAAAGAAATCCCATAAAAAGTAAGCTCATACAAAAATGATTAGTGTTACTTGCAGACACTAGTTCATACGCCAAGGTAGTTGTGTGTGCATTGGCTATTAATTTTCATTTTAGTGAAGGAAGTATTTGAGACCCCAAAATTGAATTATCTATGTACATCCAATTCAGGATCTATACACTTCTCTTTATTAAGATGAAAATAAAGCATTGTTGTACAAAAAGTTTGGTAAAAAATCGAATGTTTACTATTCACATCTTTACTTTTTCAAAAACAAAAGTACGGAGCATCTCGTCTTAACCATTTCGTGCACAGTCCATTTGCTATCAATGCTATCAAACCTTTTGTTGCACATGATATGATATTTGGGTAAAATCGAGGCAACAGTGACGAGTGTGGAGGCAAATATTGGGTGGCATGCGTGATATTGCCTTGCTTTGGCCAACCCACTTCAAATCATTGCCTTTTTACTCTAATTTATCACCGGATCTTCCTTTCATCTTCTTTCTATCTTCACTTTATTTTGATGTCATGACTCCAGTTTTATCTTTTTAAATGATGATTTTGATGAGTGATATCTACAGAGTAGTCTTCCTGTCCAGCCGGCCTGACGGGAACCGCCGTCCGGCCGAGGGCATTTTGAGCACTTCTCGGTGGAATTTTTTGATGAAATTTTTTGAGCATGTTATTCATGAAGTCTAATTTAGCCATACCAAATTTCAGCTAAAAAATCAATCGGGAAGGCAGTCAAATAATTTGTTGAAGTTAACTGCGCAGTTTATATGTATGAACTGCCCAGTTAACTTCAAGAAATTATTTGAGTGTCTTCCCGATTGATTTTTTAGCTGAAATTTGGTATGGATAAACTAGACTTCATGAAGAACATGCTCAAAAAATGTCATCAAAAAATTCCACCGAGAAGTCCCCGAAATGCCCTCGGCCGGACGGCGGTTCCCGTCAGGCCGGCTGGACATGAAAAGTTGTCGATATCTACATACAAAAAAGCACAATTTATTTAACTAAATGATGCGTAATACCAATGGAGTGTCTTTAATATTTTAGACAGGCCCCACCTACTTTTACTTGGATTCTAGATTTCGTACTCCAAAAATGGACGACTTTTCTAAAAAGTTATTCCCTACCATTCACGGTGTATAATTTATTTTAATTCCACACCACTTTTTCTGTTCCAAAAACAAACGACTTTTATACCGTTAAAGTTTGATATTTATTGGGAGTTATTTTCCAGAATAATATTAAAAAAAATTATTTATGAAATTAAAATCGAGTTCAAAGTATTTATCAAAATATTGTGGCAAAATCGCATAATGAAACGGCGGGTTGCAAAGTCGTCTACTGGTTTGACGACTCTTCCTTCAAAATTGAGAGCAATACCTAAAGAAACCACAAGTAGGGGTGGAAATAGGCCAACCGGGCTATCAGGGGCCTGTGGCATGGCCTGGCCTGTTTAATAATCAAGCTAGGCTTGGGCTTTTCTAAAAGCCCGTTTATCTAAATAGGTCAGGCCTAGCCCAACTCTAAAGCCTTTTTACCTTAACAGGCCGGCCTATTTATATGTGTATATATATGTATGTATGTACTCCCTCCGTCCCGCTATTAACTTCCTATTTTTCTTTTTGGGACGACCCAAAATCATCTTCTCATTTCCCTAAATGGAAAGTTTTCCTAAATCAAAACAGTGTCAAACAGTGCAAAACAGTGTCAAACAGTGCCAAACAGTGTCTAAACAGTGTCTAAACAGTGTCTAAACAGTAAAGTCAAATTTAATTTCTAAAAGTGTGTGAGGGTCAAAGTAAGAAGTTAAAAACGGGACGGAGGGAGTATATTTAGTTATATTTATATTTATTTGTATTATTTATATTTATATTGGTATACTCAACTATATCAAAATCAGTATAATAGTACTTTTAGGGAGTGTGTATTATAAATTAGTATAGACTACTTTTTAAAATATATATAAAGTGTGTTCATACTTTATTAAGGTAATTGAAATTCAAAGTTTTTCAAGATTCAAAGTATATAGAAATTTATAAACTACGTAGTACATAATAATACTCCATAATAATGTATTATTAGACATCCAAAGTAAAACTAACGTATTATTAGATTTTTAGTGAATATTTGGGGTACTAAATTTTATACTAGATTATAAGGATTTTTCATTTTTTTTTTGAAATTTTATTTTTTTCTTAACAGACCCGGTAAACAGGCTTCAGGCCAGGTCAGGCTTTTAAACAGGCCAGGCCCAGGCCGAAAAAATAGGCCTTTAACAGGCAACAGGTCAGGCTCAGGCCTATATATTCTAAAACAGACCCAGTCTGTTTAGGCAAAAGCCTGGCTTGGCCTGTTTCCACCCCTAACCCCAATAAAGAAGAGAAAGTCATCAAGCTAGTTACTCTCAATTTTGAAGGGAAAAGTTGAGTATTTCGATTCTATGCGCATAAACTCCTAAATGAACAAATTTGTTTGCCAAATAAAAGAAAAATGATTGGTATTTTATACTACTATAACTTAGACATCTTGACAAAGTTACTTTCATATTGAATCATATTATTTAGACAAGTGATGTCAAAATTGTAATGTTTGTTCTTGGATGGGGTTTTACGCATATATGGATAATTATAACACATGAAAGTTTGACGCATTTTATAAATCACAGGACTAATGCATTGAATTTATAATTATAGGGGGTTTAGTGCATTAAACATCTGTATTATATAGACTATATTTTAGATTTTTGGGTCTTCTTAATCGGTAGGCTTGTGTGTGTGTGTATAAATTATATTTAAAATTTCAGGGTGTTCAATAGGCTCGAGTTCAAACCGAGCCGAATACTACTATGTTCGAGCTCGGCTCGATTAATTTTTCGAACTTAAAAACTCAGCTCGAGTTTGAGTTCGAAAGCTCGTTAAGCTCGGCTCATTAGGATCAAAACCGAGCTTGAACACGAATAGTTCGATAAAAGCTCGATTTGTTAACAGTATTAAAGCATCTCCAATGCTATAATGTGCACGGTGCACATGTGGCATGATTGATAGCCAC